GAGGCGGCCGTGGCGTTTCGCCTGCAGACGTGAGGAGATTGCCCCGAGCGGGGATGTGACCCCGTCCGGGCGCGGCGGGGCACCCCAGCGCAGATCCCAGCCTGCTTCGTGGAGCAAACCCGTGTAGACAAAAAGGAAAATCCGGGACCCGCTGCGGTCGGGAGCAAAACTGAGTCGCTGGCTCGGCGCATGAGGCAGGCGGGACCGCTGGCGCCCACCTAGCGCCAGGATCGAGGCTCCTTAGGGTTTCGAAGGGTGAGAGGTATAGCCCAATATATTTGGTGTCGGATCCAGTCATCCCTTGTTCTGGTACGGGTTTCAAACACATTCAGCCTTTTGAACTGTAGGACTGTTCCGGGCACCAGCATTAATTATGCCTTACGGCTTTTGGGTTCTTGCAAGCCATGCTGAAAATACTCAATGCTGGCCGGCTCGCAGGCACATCCTTCTTTAATGCGCCGTTTTGATACTGTGCATATGTGAAAAGCCAAGTGATGCCCCACTTTCCTGTTCTAGTTTGTTAATTTGTGTAGGTAGAACCGTAGGTACAACAGGCAAATAAGTTAAGACCCCTTGCCATTGCCCCCCTGAGCTCAGTGACGTTCTCTCATGAACTGTTCTCACCAGATGTAAAGCACAGCAATGGCAAAATAACATTGTGGTAGGCAGGATTTTAATGTCGTGTTTTCTGAGAGAGTGTTAATTACTCCAGATCTAGGTACATTCAAGTCGGTGGTAAGGTCCATGTTGATTTCACAAAGGATGGGTTTTAGTCTCTGTCAGTAATATTTCTGCAGGTGTTTTCATATTTTTATTAGCTAATTAAACAATTTTAATATCTTAAAAACTAATAGAAATTGCTTTCTGGGGTCAGATTTTCTCTTACAAATGAAAAAAAAATCATGCAGACCTATTGTTCCAACATAGTTGTCCACAGCAACAAAATAGTATTTTGTTTTTAGCTAGAAAATGTAATTTACATAGTTTGGCATTTTCAGAATGTGAAATGGTGTCTTCTTCGATGTTGTCAACAGGACACGGAATTGAGCACTGGCATAAAATGATTAGGTGGCGAGACTCTGTAACTATGGCCTTTCTGATTGAAAGAGTCTGATATAAATAGCAATTTTAAGGTCTGATTCTGTGATCACAAGTGTTTCATTATGGTTTGAATAAATAAATGTATAATCACATGAATTAGGATTTACAGTTTAAGTCCTTAGTCACAGCAGAGTCACAGTGGAAAACAGTAATTTAAAGCTGGAGTAAAAAGTTATGTATCTTGTTACCAGCCACTTGAGCGTTAACGAGTTCCAAAGAAGTTAGCCGTAAGCTAAAAATAACCCTGCGCTCTTGATGTCCTCTGTTAAAGTAGCCCTAATTTCCCTTTATTTCTGCCTTGCATTTGATTTTGTGTGTGATAGCATGCATTGCCCGATAAACACCTTCTCAAATGTATCCTCCACATGAATAGATTTCTTCAAGTTTGCCGAGAGCTTCTGAAGAGGCGCCAGTATTCTGTGAAGAGATAATCGTAAGGCAGGGGTACGCGCATAGACCTGCGCATTTGTGAAAATGTAGATTAGAAGCAGATACTAAGGAAAACTCAGGGGTTTAAGAGTTTGGATTGTTTATGTGGTTGGATCAGCAGATGGCAAATATGACTCAGTATAAACGTTACATAATTCTTCTTGGGAAAATAAAATCTCAAGACTGTGCTCTAATTGAAAAGATCATCCAGAAAGCTGTTGAAGAACAGCATGGAGAATCGGGCTAGAAATATCAATGGAGCAGATTCATGCAGCAGCCAGCAAATTCAGGAAGATTTTATGAATGTAGCGAGGCTCAAAACATACCCCAGTAAACCCACCAGCCTAGCACCCAACAAAACTGCGAAGGCCAAACATTTAATTTCATTAGCAAATAGACCAGAAAACAGTTATTCTATCAATTTGAAAAGTAAAAAGGAATTTAAGCAGCCCTATTTAATGGAAGGGTCAAACATGGGTAAATTCGAAGGGCTACTGAAGCAAAAGAATTCAGAACATGGGTTGGTCTGTTTCCAGAGATGAAATCGATAGCAGACTGTAGAGAAAAAAAAAAAAAAAGTACCGAGACGGAGTTGAATGTTAATGTTCAAACCTATTATATCAGGTAGCCTCCTCTGTGTTTTTAAATGTCTTACATTCTCTGCTCCTGGTAATATCAGGACAACACTGTGGAGTGTTAAAAATTACATGTACAATAAGTATGTTAACTAAACATAGAAAGTAGAAACATAGCCTTGTAATTTGCAGCAGTTACAGATGAGAAAAATAATTTGTGAAACAGCCAAGAGATCTTGCAAAACATTGTGTGCTTTTCGAGCAGTGCCATTCCATACTACAGCAGAATTTTGATTCTATGCTTTCAGTATTTGCGAAGACATTTTAAGTTATGACCACTGCAGCTGTCGGTGTCTAAGTGGCATCACACCTTCAATCTCAAAATTTCTCTTAACACAGCATATGCCTTACCTTCTGTTTTCTTCCATTTTCTAAAATACCAGAGAAAGCAGTTAGCCTACCTTGAAATTCTTTAACTGGTTTGTCATTTGAAAGGACTGGGATTGACTGTAATAAGCAAGGACTTCCCATAATGTTTTTACAATGCAGCTATCACTTGGCTTTGTTCTCATTTCAGGGTGACAACTTCTTGATTTCCTTCTCCTGCAGTCTGCCATACTTAAAGGCAAATTAAATGAATGCTTTCTAACATTCTGTGACTTTCCCCTCTCTATTTTCAAGCAGGAATATGGAAGGGATATGAAAAACTGAGTTGCAAGTATTGAAAAAAAATCCGTGATATTAAAAATAGTTGTGTAGAATAGCAAACATATTAACATCGTATCTCTGGACTGTCTGTTATCAGTTCTCTCATGTAAAGATATAAGGAAGGTCTAAGATCCCTATTACAAACTCTGCTAGATATTCTGAGAGCTCAAAATGCTGGAATAAACCACCAGATCAGTTTGGCAGTAGAAAAAAAATGAGCATTAAATAGGCCTAATTATTATTCTCATTTTTGTACGCCTGTGGTAAGCCAGGGACAAAGGTTGCAACGTGCCTGAGAGAAAGTGCTATTTCTGATGCACCTAGCTGGCAAGAGTTTTTCAGGCTTGATACTGTCTTTTGCCCTTTGCAGTGTATACATATTGTAAAAAAGACACAGTGAACTTGAGCCAGCCATGACTAACTTTGTGTAAGCACTGCTTGTCTAGGAGATATCTAAACATCAGGCTCAGAGGCTAAGTCCAAAGTGGAGGTCCCGGCAGCACATCTGAGCTCCTGAGGACAGGCACGAATGCCCATCGTGTCCTGGTTCCCTGTCAGGGTGAAACCAAGGTGCACATCAGCCTTCCTCTGAAGCCCTTCCTTGGTGATAGGCTCAGAAGGCAGGTGGACACAGTGGACAGGTCCTCAGTGTAGATAACTGGGACACACCACAATATTTACATGCTGCTTACTTTAGCTCTCACCACTGAAATATGCAGAAGGACTTATATCCTCCTCTACCATAAAAGAAAATGATAGAAACTGAATGTACTAAACCTAACTCACGAGGAATATAAAAACACTTGAGTGCTATGGTTTCAAAAGAGTGCATAAATACTTTGGACTCATCAGCTTAAGTAGAAGCTAAAGTAACATCTAAGGAAAAAGCCATTTTTGATGACTTATCCTATCTCTGACTATACAATTCTGACTAGATCATGTTTTCCGTAAATGCTTGCTTACTTTGAGGTGTGTGGTCATGGCATATCTTTGTAATGGAAAAGAACACGCAAGGAAATGGTCCCTAAGTGATGTTGCACAGCAGCAAGACGCTGTCTCAGCATTTGCACTGACTGACCCCACTACATCATTCTCATGGGGCTCCAAACACACTGAAGAAGAGCAAGAAATTAAACTATTATTCTGTCACCCAGATACTGACCTACAGAGTCATCCGAACATACCATGGGAAGCGTGCTGCATTCCTTAGAGGGCTGTAATGTCC